TTTGCCCCGTCAGCCCCAGAACCGAAGGGGGCCACGCGCCACGCTGGCGGTCGCCAGCGGGGCTGCCCCCGGGAGCCGTCATTCTGTCTCAATTACCGGGGCGGCGGGCGCACTGGCGGGCCTGGCAGGACCACGCACACCCAGACACGACCGCGTCGCAAAAAAGTGAGGACGGAAGGTTTTTGGCCACTTTCGGCCTCGGGGGGCACTCGCTGGGCCTCCGAACGGTCAAAAGACGATTCATCCCCTGGGGAAAAGGTCTGGATTTCCTTGGGCGCCGTCGTGAAAAAATCAGGACGTCGCATGTCTGGGCACGCACCCGCACGACGCCCACACCACGACCGTGGGCCCGGGCGGGCATGGCCGAGGCCTCTATCGCCTTGACCGACCTCTCCTGGCTGAGGGTCATGTCGCGCACGGCCATCTCGACAATGTTTTGCGCCTGGGGGTAGCCAGGCAGGAACGGTTCTTTGACAGTCGCGCATTGGTGCTGGGTCCCATCACGTGGCCCATGGCGACCTGTCATCAAGCGCCTGGAGTGGCCACGCTGTTCGCGATTACGGATCACGACTCTGACCCACATTGAGACCCTGTTGGTAATGACTCGCTTTCGCAACCAAGTGGGCGAGCGAAATCGACAATGCCGAGCTGCAAATCACCTGATGAATCGCAAGTCGCGCGCATGACGGGTGCAATCGTTGACCACTACTCGAAGCTATTATGGTCCAGCGAACCGCGGGTTCGGAAGATGTTACGAAACGTCTTCTACGGTCTGCCGAACACGGAACGGGCAACGTACTATATATATATATATATAGATAACCGCCCTCCCCACACCCAGCGCATGGGATCGACCCCCCTCCCGCCCCGTAAGCCCCGCGACGGCCTCACGGATGGGATCGCCCCCCCAGCATGTGGTCGTGGCCATGTGGGCGTGGCGTGGTGGAGTGGGTCGTGGTCGTGGTTGTGGTCGTGGTCGTGGCCGTGGTCGTCGTCATGGTCGTGGTCGTGGTCGTCGTCGTGGTCGTGGTCGTGGTCGTGGTCGTGGTCGCGGTCGTGGTCGTGGTCGGCGTCGGCGTCGGCGTCGGCGTCGGCGTCGGCGTCGGCGCCGTCGTCGTCGGCGTCGTCGTCGTCATCGTCGCCGTCGCCGTCGTCCCCCCGCCCCCCCAATCCCACCGGGGGGGGGGGCGGGGTGGGTGGGCGACTGTGAAGCCTTCGGACCCATCCCATCGGGGGGGGGACCTCTGAACCCCCGACACGGGATCACATATCCGCCGGCCCCCATTTTGTGACCACCGGGCTACCAGGCTGAGGTTTCCTGCTTATCGTGCCGCGTTCTGCTTCGCACTCTTTTACAACCCCCCTTCGGGGTTCTCATGGATGTCCCCGTGGCCATGGAACGCCAAAAAATACATGATTGTCGCGTCCCTGGGGCAGCTGCGCCCTGAAAGTTGCACCAGATTCGCACCCTGGGCCAGCACCCTCTGCAAATGACGCACTGAATCGCGCTCCCGCGGCCGAAGCCCTACATTGCACCAAATTCGAGCTTCCGATGCAACATCATGTCCATAGGTGAACGATACCCAGACATGTAGAGGGAGAGAGAGAGAGAGAGAGAGAGAGAGAGAGAAGAGAGAGAGAGAGAACAACATATATAGAGAGAGAGAGAGAGAAAGAGGAGCACAAAACAAACAAAAGCAAAACATGAAAGAGAGAGAGAGAGAGAGAGCTGGAAAGAGAGAGAGAGAGAGAACAAAAAAACAAACAAGAGAGGAAGAGAAAGAGAGAGAGATAGAGAGAGACGCATCGGAAGTTGGGGGTGGAATCAAAAGGGAGCGGACAGCCCCGCACCGGGGAATCGGTTTCGGCCTCGCGTTTGCGTCGCGCCCGCGGGCAAAGCGAAGCTGCGCGGGCACGCGGGAGGAATGACGCCGCCGTGGAGGGGCCGTGGAGCCAGTTGCCGGCCCCCCCCTCGGCGCGCGGCGGCTGGGGGCGCCCCGTCGGCGCCACGTGTGTTCCGCGACACGGAGCAGGGCGGCGCGAGCCAGTGTCATGCAGCAGAGCGGCGAGATCGATAGTGAGATTGTTTGGGAAATCGATAACACTGCGCCCCTGACATTGAACCGCGGGAGCAATAAAATTCGAGGCCCAGGGGGATAACGCACGTTTTCCCGGAGATCGCAGCGCGACGATGACAGTAAAGAGGACGACGATGATAATCCTGGGCGCCTCTCTAGATCCGCGCTCGGATGGCGCTCGTCGCCCCTCGAGATCTGGCAGTCAGAGCTCGCCCACGCCCTGGAGATCCTTGGTGCCCCTCGCCAGGAAGCCCCTCTTGCGAACCGAATCGAACTGATCGCCCACGCGACCTCGCCACCCCTTGACGCCGACAACGCAGGCCGAGCGCTTCGTGCGCGCCTGCGCGGCGGCTTGGGCTCGCTCGAAAGCTTCGCGCTCCGGCTCTAGCACGGTCGGGCCCTTCGGCGGCTGGGCCTTGACCTTTGCTCCTGGCCGTGGCCTTGGCCTCAACAGACTGATTGTCAATCGTGGCCTGCAGCTTCTGGACCCACTCGCCGCCTCGAGCGCGCGCCTGGTTGATGCTGATGGGCGGTGGGCGGCCCTCGCTCGCCTTGGATCTCGCGCAAGGCGCGCTCGACCCACCTCGCCACCTCGTCACCCAGAGCCCGCTGGACCAGCCATTTACTTGTAACGTCTTGTTGCTTCTCGCAAGGCATTCCTCGCCAGGACCGATGGCGCCAAACTTTCGGAGGATCCTCGCGGCGGCCCGCTCGGCGTTCTCGGACGGCTGCTCGAGGGCGTCGCGGCACTCGACGGCCATGCCCGCCCCCTGCTTGGACACCTCGAGGTAGGCGTAGTGCGCGGGGGCCTCGGAATGCACCTCGATCAGCAGGTGCTCGGCCTTCTCGACTCTCTCGGCTCAGCGTTTCTGCTCCTCCTGCTGCTGGGCAATGGGCTCGTCCTCGCCCTGGACCTCTCGAGCCCCCGGCGACGGCCACGGTGGGCTCGACCGCCACGACGGTCTCGGGAGCGCCCTCGCGTTCCTCGATCTCGTCGAGCAGCGCGCGCACAGAGCCCAGCTCGAGGGCGTCGCCATTCTTGACTCGCTCGCCGTTCATGATTGCGCACCCCTTGGCGAGCTCAGTGCGCCGAGGTCCCCCGTGCTGGCGCAGAGAAGGAGGGGGAGGGAGGGGGAGGGGAAGGAGGAGGAGGAAAAACAAGAGGAGATGCCGGGAGATGCCCTGGAGACGAAGCGTCGTGCGCCCGTCAGAACAAGAGGAGGAGGAGGAGGAGGAGGAGGAGGAGGAGGAGGAGGAGGAGGAGGACAAGGGGGAGGAGGAGGAGGAGGATAACGAGGAGGAGGAGGAGGAGAAGGAGGAAGAGGAGGAGGAATAATCCCACTCCCCGAACCCGCTGCGCGCAGGGGCCTCCAGCGCCTGGCTGCGGGCCGTGCGCTCGAGCTCCTGCGGCGCAGTGGCGGGGGGGACGACGCCGACGACGACGACGACGACGACGACGACGGCGGCGGCGACGACGGCGGCGACGACGACGACGGCGGCGACGATGACGACGACGGCGACGACGACGACGGCGACGACGACGACGACGACGACGGGCGCCGCTCGCGCTCGGGGCCGTCGCCGAGGAGGGCGCCGCGGCTCTGTTTGGCGGCGCGCCTTAGGGGGGGGTACGGGGATGGGGGAAGGCTTCTTGAAAGGAGGCTGCCTCTTCGAAGGCGCCAGCCTCACAGTGTTACGCAAGGCCCGCGCCTTCTGAGAACCAGCCTCCCTCTAAGACGCGTGCTTTCCCCCCTCCCCCGACCCCACCCTGCGCGTGGCCGGCATGGAATGGCATGGGATGGAAGCAACGCCAGCAGACAAAACCCCGCTGGCCCAGAGAACAAAGGGGGAGGCCCCAAGAACAAGGGGGGGCACTTCCACTTGGCCTCGTGCTCCAGCTGCCCGGAGCACTTGAGCGACCAAAGCGGTCCCGTGTGCAAGACCGCCAGACACGAGGCCAAACCTGACCAGGATCAACCCTCTCCCAAGACGTGGGCAAGAACCTCCGGAAATAACAGCACAAGCGCAGACCGACGCGGTCTTGCGCCTGTTGCAGGCAGCGAGGGATGTAGGAGCAGCAAGAGGACGGGGAGAGTGAGGAGGATGAGGAACGCCAGAACGAACCCCAAATGTACCAACCAATGCTGCAATTGACCCTCCCGCCCCCAGTCCCTTCTCCATAAAACCCTACAAACATAGATTCCATTGGGGGGCGCCCCCTTCAAAGGCGAATGCCCCGTCGGACCGCGATTCCAGGGGGAGCCCCGTTTGAAAAAGGACCTGCCTTACATTCATCGAACTACACTGACTGCGACGAGGTGGGACCATAACCCTCAAGGGCATGTCACGCGACACCTCCGATTTGAAACAACAGCGTCATCCATAGTACAACAACAAAGCGAACTCAAGCCTCTGGTCATAAAACCAACACCCGTCGCAACCGAGAACCCAATTCTGAAACGGAGAAGGCGCCGCCCTACATCCGTGAGTACGTCGCACAATGTAGCATCTTCGGGTCCTGTTGTTCGTGGAAGTATCAAATGAAAGTTATGTTGCTCCCATCGTACTTGAGGACCACATCCCAGAAATAATTTCGAGCACCCAGAAAAGTGCCCGAAGAGTGTCGAAACAATGTCGAAACAATGTCGGACGAGTGTCTCCCAGGGCCCGGCACGTGAAAACCCTTGAGTTTGGAGGTATTTTTCTGGTGTTCGAAATTCTTTTCTGGTGGTCAAGGCTGAAATAGGTTGGAGCTTCATAACATGCGAGTTCCGCTTTGTAAACTAATCGACCTTCATCAGCGCAACTGGCCCTCGCACGCCTAGTGATATCAATTCACCTCATATTAGCGGTTTGCAGGCGAATGTGCGCGGTGCTCATGCGGAAACCTTACTTTAGCACCGACCAGCCATCGATCCGTGTGACTGCTGGAAACTTGTGAAGCTCCAAAATAACTAAGCGGCGAGGGGGTCTTAGACGCAACGACTGGACCGACCTGACGACACGCCTGATGGGGCGAGGGAGAGAAGGTACGTAGTTGCTTAGAAGAGTAAAGGATGGGGGAGCTGAGTCGGGCGCGCCTGGTCGGTCCAGGGGAGGAGGCGGACGGAGGAGGGAAATGACGGCACTCTCGAGCAGTAACAGGAGGAACGTGAGAGTGACCACATTCCGGTTCAGCGGGACTAGGACCATGACTTCACAACGCAGACTGTACAGGAATACCATGAGGAGCGAGGAGGGGGAAGAGGGAAGGGAAGTCGGATGAGTGAAGCAAAGGAGGAGAAGACAGAGTAGGACGCAAGAGATCAGAGAGACAGAGATCAGATAGATCAAGAGATCGTTTTTTTGAGGGGCGGGCACTCTCAAGAGATCAGGCCACCGTGGGGATGGATGCGGAGGGAAGCGGGATTGGTTCGGAGTTGGGTCGAAACCCACGGCGGACTGACCCGGGGGTAACTGGACAGAGTGCAGAGGTCAAGGCAGAATCTGCAGCGAGTCCACACAGCGTTTCCAGCAAGGACTCTCTGACTCTCGGCCTCACTCTTATGGTTCACATGCCCCACAAACTCCGATAGCGTGCCATGGTGCTGACTGGATGCACGATGGAAATGTACTATTCAGCCCCAGGCTGTGCACACTTTCTTCTGCACTCTCATTCCGCCTCCCTCTCCTCTCTCTTCTCTCTCTGTTTTGTTTCCTCTTTCTCTCTCTCTCTCTCTCTCCAAATCTGTACACATACATGTGAGTATATATATATACACACATCTCAATCGGGTGGGGGCGGGGGGCACCACCACCATGCAGAAAAATGTCACCAGCCCTTTGGGACGCGAGTGGCGTAGAACGTTTCCTCTTCCAACCCCCCTTGTCCCCCTTCGGGGAAGGTTTCTCACTGTTCCCTGTGAATGAACACCCCCTCCTCTCCCAGGCGCCGGGCATCCAACAATACGAACACACACACACACACACACACGCATACAAACACACACACACACACACTCTTTGGGGCAAAATCTTGGGTCATGCTCGTGGGCCCCTCGAGCACTTTGCATTGAGGTTTGACCGGGACGGCGGGGATGCCCTCATATCGCCTGCTTTGCGCAAAGCCACCGTCCCAATCCGCCACCGTGCCTCTGGGCACGGAGTGGGCGTGTCCTCAGGTCCTTTGCCGAATCCCTGGAGCCTCAGTCCTCAGTCCTGAAGAGTTTTTAAGGGGCTGGACCAAAAAATCCAAAATTTGGCTGGGCTCCTGGTGTGCTCCTTGGGCTCCCCCGCGCGGTGGCTAGTGAATCTTGGGGTCCCAAGAGGGCTCCACGACGAGTCAACAGGGCCCCTCGAGGCCCCCAGGACGGTCCAAGATGGCCCCGAGTCGCTGAAAGATCGCCCCAAGACGCGCAGCATGGACTCCAGACGACCCAAGAGGCCTCCAAGACGCTCCAAGAGACCTCCCAAGAGGACCTCACGAGGCAGAAATCATTGATTTCCGTAAGTTGTTGAAAGCCTGACGGCCCACGAGGCCCACAAGACCACTCCTAAAACGGCTCAAGAGGCCTCCAAGAGGGCCCCAAGACGGCCTAAGAGCGCCCCAAGGCGTCTCAAGAGCCACACAAGACGGCCCAAGACGGCCCCAGAAGAGGCCCAAGAGAGGGAACATGCACCGAAAATCCAAACCTTCCGCCCTTAGAGGCCATCAGGAGGCCCGAGAAGCATCGAGGAGGTCCCAAGAGGCCCCCAAGAGTCCCATCTGATGCCACGAGAGGCCCCAGAACGGCCGCCAAGAGGCCTCCAAACTGCCTCCAAGACCCCTGAGAGGCCTCCCATGAGATCCCAGCGAATATCGAGTAGGCTTCATACCCACAACCTAGGGACGGTGGCGGGATGGGCCGAAGGCCATCAGGGCCCGCCGCCCCCTGTCGATTCATCTTCCAGGACCCCAACGTGCACACAAAATCCTCCAAGACGGCTCCAAAAACGGCCGTTTCGCTCGGGGCATCCTCAAAACATCGCGAAGATGGCCCAAGATGGCCTCCAAGTCCGCCCAAGATGGTCCAAGACGACCTCCAAGACGGCCCAAGAGAGTTCAAGACGGCCCAAGACGGCCCAAGAGGCCCCCCAGAGGCCTCCAAGAGGGCCTCCAGGAAGGCCCGAAAAGGTCAAAATCATTAATTGTCCATTGGTGTTTGAAGGATTGTGGCATTTGCTTTTTTTCTGCCTTCCGACGGCCCAAGATGGCCCAAGTGCCCCCAAAGATCGCCCAAGAGGCCCAAGACACGGCCCCAAGAGGCTCCCAAGACGGCCCAAGAGGTCTCCAAGACGCCCAAGATGGCCTCCAAGACGGTCCAAGAGCCCTCCAAGACGTCCTCCAAGAAGGCCCCAAAGGGTCAAAATGGCCTCCAGACGGCCAAGATGACCTTCAAGATGCCCAACGTGTTCCCCGAAGGCTTTCCAAACCGACTCGGGGAACACATGGTCCGACAGCTTGGCAGGTCTGGCCTCAACGCTCGGCCACACAGGCGCTTCCAAAAAGGCAGGGGGCGGCGGTGTTTCGCCGTAGGCGTCTTCGATACAGCATGCACTTCGCGGCTAAATCTAGATCATGCGCGGCCGCCCCGCGATCACTGTCCATGGGTGTTTGACAAGGGCAGGGGGGGTGCTGGCATATTGCCCGCTGTGTGCAGGATGGTGGGGGCCGACATGTTCCCCGATGCGTGCTGTCACGTGCGCGGGCGCACCTGGCACGCTCTGCGCGTGCCCCAGACGTGGCGTACCGGGCGCGCCTGGACCACGCGGCACGCATGGCGCACGTGGAGCACGTGTCGGGGAGACGTAAGGCTCGGGTACGGGGGACGCGGGTTGGCCTGACGGGGTCCATCATAAAAACGACGAGACGCAATCTGAAATTTGACACGAGCTCCCACTGCAAACATCCCACGAAAACTGGACCGTCAACATCCGCGACGCGCTCGTCCAAAAACGTCGGCAAACCCGAGTTCCGGCTTACCCGAGTCTTACGTTCCCCCGCACGTGGCGCATCTGGCGCACCTGGCGCGCGAGGCGCGCCTGGCACGCCTGGGCCCCGGGGGGTGCCCGGCGCACCTGGAGCGCCTGGCAGACCTGGAGCGCCCGGCACGCCTGGCGCCCCGCGCCCCACCGCACGCGTGGGGTCTGCACCTCGCCATCGCTCGGAAATCCATTTTTTGTATTTTTGCGGTTTCGTGCGTGTTTTTTTCGCCAAATGGTCAGGGATGTTCCTCGATGGCCCTCGCCGAAGGAAAAATGCACACGTCCGAGCGATGCCAAGGCATTGGTTCCCAGTAGCTGCCCATCTGTACAAGACCGCTGAGCATGTTGAGGCCCGGGTGCTACGTCTGTGTTGGCAGGGCGGGTGGAAGGGAGCGAGGCAGCTTGCGGGCGGGGAGGGTGTCTTGACCCCTCCCTCGAATTACCCTCCCCCTGGACCCAGAGGGGGAGGTCGCGGGTCGTTGGAGCGTCCAAGATGGCCTCGGCGAGAAGGCCGGAATCATTGATGTTACTACGGGTTTGGACCCCTGGTGCCGTCCTTCTTTGATCGAACGCCGCCTAGATGGCCCCAAGATGGCCTCCGAGGTTCCCAAAGGTGTCCAAGACAGCCCCAAGAGGTGCCCAGAAGGCCCCAAGAGGCCCCCAGGATTCCCCCAAGAGGCCCCTAAGAGACCCTCAAGAGGACCCCAGCGGCCCCCCAGAAGCACCCAAGACGCCCCAAAAGGCCCCCAGGACTGCCAAGAGTCCCCCAAGATGCCCCAAGAGGCCTCTGGCCTTTCTGCTCGCCCTCCTCCTCCTCCTGCGTCTCCTCATTCCCCTCCTCATTCACATATTCCTCATCCGCCTATTCCTCATCCTTCTTCCACCCTCTTCCCCCTCCCCCTCTCCCTGCTCCTACTCCTCCTCCTCCTCCTCCTCCTCCTCCTCCTCCTCTTCCTCCTCCTGCTCCTCCTCCGATTCCTCCACCATCCTCCCACTATGACGTCTTTCCCAGTACGTCATTCCAATGCATGCTCCTCCACATCCCTGATCAGGGCAACTCGTCTGGGCTGGTGGGGTTACGCGAAGCTTCTAGAATAGCAATCGACTCTGGAAAGCCAAATAAAGATGCGTCCTGGCCGACAGGTCTGACCGGGATCAGGAACACACCTGCTCTACACACAGCAGCACCCTGAGAATAATGACGAGGACGAGCAGGAGGGGAGGAGGTGGGGACCAGGAGGAGAAGGGCGAGGCTCAGGTGGGGCCCCGGCGAGGTGTGCGGAGGGCAGGCGTCTGGAGCGGAGCCGAGCGGAGCGGGGTGGTCCTCCAAACGCTTCTGGGTGCGCTCCCGGTCCTGCCGGTCGCATGCAGGAGGACGACCAGGGGAAGAGGAAGAAAGCAAGGGAGGACGACGACAAAAAGGGATAATGCTGACGACGACGATGAGTTCCCCCACCCGACAAGTTGGGGCTGACAGACTGTAAAGAAAGGGCTCCCGTGTGCCCACCCTGCATACCGCGGTCGCCCAAACCTGCAAGATCCCAGGAATCCCTGACTATCCCGCCTGGCGACCTCGACGATGACGACACCGTACCGCTGTCGCCAAACCCAAGGATTCCGGGGAGTCCCTGAATATCCCGCTTCGCGTCCTCGACGAATGACGATGCCTTGCATACCAGACAGCCCCGAGGGGGAGGCGTCACGCCGTCCAGGCGCCACGACGCATGAACAAATAGGCATGAGTAACGGCAGACATAACACACGGCAGACACGGGCGCACGTATCATATCAATCATTTGATGCCAGGTCTGACACAGTGGCGGGACTTGCGGTAGGCAGCTAGATAGCAGTAGGGGAGATGAGACCGAACACAATCGAACATCAAAGAGCGTATCCCAAAACATGCAATTCCACAACTCAACATCATACTGCTGAGTCGTATAGCATGGGAAAGATTTGCACGTAAGAAATGATAGCATGGCATAACGTAGTACTACCATCTGACAGATGGGAACACAACGTAACTTGACGATGACAGATGGGAACACAACGTAACATGACGTGAACTGTTATACTGAAACAATACAGACTCGAATATTGCGAACTACAACAGGGTAACTACTCCGACGAAACGACCCCGCATGGGAACTCTCTTGGCGCTCATGAGAGTCGTCGTCATCGACGACAAACGATGGTGATGATGCCAAGGCGCCGGGATGGCAGGGCCCGACCCGTCAGGCAGCCGAGACCTTTGGAGCCCGTGGGGTGTTCGAGAACCGTGGGGCCTGTGGCACCTGTGCGACCCGTGGGACAGGTGCGCCCTGCGGGGCCGGTGCGACCTCTGGGGCCTGCGAGGCCCGTGGGACCCGAGGGACCTGCGAGACCTGTGGGACCTGGGGCACCCGAATGTCCCCGAGCTTCGGGTCACCAGCGGGTGCCCATGTCACCCCCCTGGGATGGGCGCCCGCTGGCTACACGGATTCCGGAAGACAAAAACACATCGGGGAACCCAGGCTGCCCCCCCGCAAAATGTTGCAAACTTTCGGGTAACAAGCGCTTGCCCATTTCAGGGGGCCTCTGGAACTTGTGGGACCTGTGGAGCCTGTGAGCCCCGTGACACCTGTGGGGCCCGTGGAACGTGTGCGGCCTGCGGGGTCTGTTGGCCCGTCAGGACCTGCGAACCTTGCAGGACGTGTGGGATGGGACTCGCGGGGCCTGCAGGACCTGTGAGGCCTCTGACACCTGTGGGGCCCGCGGCACCCGTCGGACCTCTCCGACCTTTGGGACCGGGGAGGGCTTGTGAGACCTGTGAAATCTGCGACGCCTGCGGGACCTGCGTGACCTGTGGGCCTGTGGGGCCTTTGGGACCGGCGCGCCGTGTGGGACCCGTTGGATCTGTGCGGCCCGTGGGGAGCGTGGGCCCCTGTGAGGCTCGCTGCGGCCTATGTTGGACCTGTGGGACCTGTGCGCCCATGGCGCCCACGGGACTCGTGGGACCTGTGCGCCCACGGCGCCCGCTCGTGACTGCCTCGCGACTCGCACACTCGAGGCTCCCGCTCGAGACTCCCCCACGTCTTGCCCCCCTCGGGGGCTCGAATATGATGCCTGCAAGCGTAAGCAGATGGCCCGCTCGGATACGACCATGGAGGCGGGGACCCCACAGGGAGAGGGCTCCCGCTGGAGACTTCCTCGTCCCGCTCGAGACGTCCTCCAGATTCAGGCCTGGGGAGCCCTAGAGTAACGACAACCACTAGGTTTTGATGACCCCGCTCGGCTTCGAACATGAAGGCGGGGACCCCATAAGGAGGGGGCTGCCGCTCGAGAGTTCTCCACGACGCACTCACGAACCGAGCTCCCCCGCTCAAGACTTCCCCAATATTCAAATCTGATGATGAAGAACGACTGGTGATGATGATGGCGCTCATGTTTTTTTTCTGACCTGACGACCCTCCGCCAACTTGTTTCTGAGTTCACACCGGGCCTTTCTCACGGCAGCGTACCGTCTCGCGTGGAGCCCGAGACGATGATGCTGTGATGGCGACGATGGCGGTGACGCTGATGGGAACGACGACGAAGAGGCGTGATGAGCAGTATGCCGACGACGACGATGACGATAGGGGGCTCCTGAGCGAGGCGGGCCCTCTCGGCCTCCAGGCTGTCCAGGGTTCTCTCCTGCGGGCGGGGACAGCCGCCGCCGTCGCCGCCGTCGCCGTGTCTCCGCGGGGAGGGAGGCGGGGGCGGGAATGATGGGGGAGGAGTGAGAGGAGCGGGGTGGAGGCGGAGACGGATACAGTCGGGGCGTTGACCTAAGGAACTCTAAATAAGGAACGGAGCCCCTTTCTCCCATAAGTTGAACTTTCATTTCCCATGGAAAACCTCAGGAAAACAGAGAGCAAACTGCAGAACAATCAAGGAACACCGAGCCCCTCTCCAACGATAAGGGTTCCTCCTTCAGGGCCCCGACTGTAGAGGAGCAACAGTGGAGATGAGGGACAGGGGTGGGAGGGGGTGAGACGGAGCGGGCGCAGTCCAAGCAAGGAGTGAGAGGGAGGAGGTGGGCGGAGGAAGACTCTTCGGGCCAAGGCGCATTGGAGGCATATCCAGGCCGACGGCAAGCGGCGAGCAGAACGAGCTGGGCGTGAGGGTGCCTCTGCGAGCTCAGGTGGGTGCAAGCCCCAATTCGGGGATCTACTGACCCAGGTCAGTGCAAACCTGGGTCAGACGGGCCTTGCAGGATCCTGCAAAGTCCTGCAGGATCCTGCAGGACTCGGCAGGACCCAGCACCCCAACCCCCAAGCCCGTGTCAACACGACCCTGAGGTGTGGCATGTCCTCCTACAGAGGGATGTTGGACGGAAAAAATAAGAAGGTGTCAACAAAAGCCTTAAAAGAGTCAAGACATACTAGAAACATCGTCCCCATAATTGTGTTTGGTAATGTTGGAACATTCCTCCTGTAGAGAGAGAGGGAGAGAGAGAGAGAGACGCCCGACTAAATACAAACTATGGCGCTCAGATCCCCGTGTGCATTGTGGATGCCGTGGCAATGGACACTCTAACAATCCTATTATTGAATTAAAGGTGTGGTTCAAAGGTGTAAAACATGTTCTACAAATGTTTCCAACATGTTTTACCAATGTAAGACGTGTTTGACACATGTTTCAAGCATCTGGAAACTGTTTGGCAGCATGCTCCCTCTCCATTATAATCGACTTCCACAACGTGTGCATTGACCCCCGTCTCTTCAGCCCCGACAAGTCGGGGATCTTCTGACCCGGGTCAATCCAGACCCGGGTCAGCAGGAAACCAAAAACTGCAATGCAGGAAAACAAAAACTGCACCGCAGGTCTTCGCAAACCCGGGTCAGCCAATATGCGCGGCCGCCTCGCGGCCACGAGCGGCTCGCTAACCTGGGTCGGTCAGAGGGGGTCTTCGCAGGATCCTGCAGGATCTGGCGCCCTGGCTGACCCCCGTTTGCATTGACCCCCGTCTCAAGGCTCCCGAACAGGCTCCGCTCTGGGCTTGCCGGGGGCCCGAGCGACGGGCGCAGCGCCAGGGGCAGCGCCGCCGCCCGAGCGACGGGCACCGCGCGGGGGGGGAGGCGCTCCTTGGTGCTCGGCGAGCGAACCAGTCGGACTACCTTGAAGGGGCCCCAGGACACACAAATAAATACACACAAATAAAAGGATTCCCCATATTTTCCTATATTTTCTGAGTTTTCGTCTTCCCCCCCAATGCCCATACTTTTGCATATTTTCCTGGGAATCGACGATTAATTGTGTCTGTGTGTTTTTTCCCCTCCTGATACCTGCCAGACCACCCCAACATAACCCGAAGACCCGACTTTCGGGTTGGGGGGGGGGGACGGGTTCCACACGTGTTTTTGCCGATGTTTCCCGACCCCCCCCCCCACTGGAAATGGAGGGCAAATTGAGGCCTTCGGGTTGGATTGGGGTGGTTTGGTGGGTGGTGACAGTCTGCTGCACGCAAGCGTGAGCCTGGGCAAGATTGGCCTCTGGTGCGTGTCAGAGCCCCGCATCATCCGGGGTAACTCGGGTCAGGGCTAACTCGGGTTCGCTTCTCGGGGATCCGAACCCGAGTTACCCGTGGCCCGAGTTACCCCGGATGATTCCGGCGTCCAGAGCCCCAAATCATCAGGGGTAGCTCGGGTCAGGGCTACCTCGGGTTCGTTTTTCGGGAATCCGAGCCCGGTTTACCCTGGGCCCGAGTTACCCCGGAGAATTCGGGCGTCCAGAGCCCCAACTCATCAGGGGTAACTCGGGTCAGGGCTAACTCGGGTCCGTTTTTCGGAGATCCGAACCCGACTTACCCAGGGCCCGAGCTACCCAGGATAATTCGGGCGTACAGAGCCCCAAATCATCAGGGGTAACTCGGGTCAGGGCTACCTCGCTCGGGTTCGTTTGTCTGGGAATACAAACCCGAGTTACCCCGGGCCCGAGTTACCCCGGATAACTCGGGCGCCCAAGCGCGGCCTTTGGGGGGCCGCGGGGTGACCAAGCACAGGCGCGCAAGACGCTACTATCGCATCGCGTTCGGCGACTGGGGAACCCCAGTGTGCCCGCACCAGAGGTCACTCCGGCGAGGGGTCACTCTTACATCTAGTCTTTGGTCGGGCATGTCCTCTTACAGGCGGAGCTTGGACAAAAATTAAGAATGGCCAAACATGATCAAACATAATCAAACATAGTCGAACAATCGTCCACATACTATGTCTAGACTATTTCTGGAATATTCCCTCTGTAGATGAACATGCCTGGCTTAAGCCTAGTCGAACTATGCTGCACGGAGCGCTGGTCGCGCGGGCGCTGCCCGCCGCATGCTCATCCATCAACCATGGGCCCGCTGGCGTGGCCCGGCGAAGTGCGGCGGGGCCCGAAACGGCCGGCCCTGGGTGGGTGGGGGTGGGGGGGGGGGGGGGGAAAGGCGCTGCCTGAGAGGCGAAGGGGGGGACGGAACGACCGACCTCTTACGACCGGCGGGGAGAGGGGGAGGGGGGGGCCGTCGGGCGCCCGCCACCGGAGGCCTCAGGCGTCACGTCTCGTGTCCGACAGCAAGGGGCTCCGCTCCCTCCCCCCGTGGAGCGGTGGAGGTGGCCAGATACTGAAAATGCTCCGCCGATGTCTCATGTACAGTGGACTCCTCAGAACCTCGCTCGGAGGTTCAGAGGACGCCGTGAATGAAGTGGTGTGGCAGAAGAATGTGTACGTATCGTAACTTTGCTCCATGCTCCCTCGTTGGCAGGCAGCGTGGGTCGACGCATTGTCGGCATCTGTCATGGTACTGTGCGACGGGCCAGAACCAGCATGGGTTGGGAACCGGCGGGATGGCAATCACCGTCCCCTGACAGATGGCTCGGCTCTGGCTCTCCCTCTCTCTTTCTCTCTCTCGCTATTACTTCATATCGTTATCCCTCTATTTCTCTCTCTCTCTCTCGCTTTGTTCGTACTGCTGCTGCTCGGGGTAACTTCATTCGACTAGCGGCCCACGGTAGAAACGAGAGTACCTCAAGAACTCTGCTCGTAGGCCCTCAGGCGCTTAGGTCCTTCTCCGTGGCTGCCTGCTCCTGCTCAGACCCCAGCGTGCGGACCGACTCCAGGCTCGGCCCGTGGTTTGCAGCTGGTTGGGCTCTACAGTCGGGGCGTTGACCTAAGGAGCCCTAAATCAGGAACGAGGCCCCTCTTTTCCATAAGTTGAACTTCGATTTCGCATCGAAAATCTAAGGAAAATCCAAGGCAAGCTGCGAAACAAGTAAGGAACACGGAGCCCCTTCCCAACGAAAAGGGTTCCTTCTTCAGGGCCCCGACTGTAGGGGCCTTCATTTCCATACAACCGACTTTTCGAAAACAAGCAGATCCAGGCTCAGACGCGCCCGAGTTGAGCGAGCAAGCGAAGGTGCACAGAGGGAAGATAAAGGCGCTCAAGATAGGGGACGACGGCTACCGAACGCATCAAAAACAACAACTTGGCCGACACGCCACCAGTGGCGAAGGAAGCCAGCAGCCTGACCCAGGGAGAACCTCAAAGAGACGACACCCCCCAGGCAGACCGTCATGTCCAGTCGGATCAGACCCATGGTCACCGAGGGTAACCAGTCCTAGGAAAATGCTGCAGATCGGCGACTGCCTGCAACAAGTCCACTGGCAGCGGAAGATGACAGAGAAGATCGCAGGCGATATCACGGAGACTGGCGGGCTGCACGGAGCACGACCACCCCTCGCGCGAGGCGAAGCGCCAGTGAGAGCGAGACTCGACGATCAGGCAGGGACATTCAAACTACACACCAACTGGCCATTCCCAAGGAAGAAATGAATCTGTTAACATTATGGGACGAGAATAGGCGGCGTGCCCGGGGGAAATGAGAAGGGGCGGGCCTTCTCAGAAAGCTCGGAAGTTCCCCAGACTTCTGAGAAATGTTCTAAGCCTTCCCCGAAGACACCAACACCTTCTCAGCAGTCGCGAGGGCTTCCGAGAAGTCCCACCGCCTTCTGAGACGGCCCTCTCCTTCTCACTTCCCCCCCTCGCTCCCCGCCCCGAGAACGACCCGACGAAGTGATTCCGCACGGGTGGCAGAGAAAGGGCGAAACCAAGTGGACGGAACACGCCCAGAAGGCCACTATACAGGTCACCAGGCTCTCGAGACTGCCAGGCCAGAGTCATGCACATCATTCGAATGGCAAGTGCACGGCGAAAGTGGGGAGGAAGAAGGAGTGAGGAGGTGGGGAGAGAGAGGGAGGTCGACTTCGAGATTCGAAGATCAAGGTTAGAGGATCGAGAATCGATGATCAAGGATCGAGACTCGATGATCGAGGATCGTGGACGATGTTGGGTCGTTTGGGGGCCTCCTGGGGCGCCTTCGTAGCCCAGTCGAGATCCACCTCGAATTTCGCGCCATGACGCAGCCCATGAGGGGTTCTCGTCGTATTCCAAATGACGCGGTCGCTTCGATTGGATCAAACAAACGTCCGTCCTTCGGGGACAACTGCTGGGAGGTCTTCGCCGGCGCGGCTGAGAACTATCCTACCATATGGGGTGCTGTCAGGCCGGGTTGACCCAGATTGAGCAAGGGGTCAAGTTAGATTGAACACGTTGAGATGAAGCTGGGTTAGCACGGACACAACAGGTTACATGATCACCAGGGCCGAGACTCCACTCAGCCCCCCAGAATTACACAGCCCTCGGATGCGGAAGCCATTTCACAAAATTGTCTCCCAGAGCCCTCGACCGCCCTAGGAGCGGATGTGTCGTCGCCGGTCGCTCCTTGGTCGACCCATGGCCCGAAACCAGCCCCAGTCACTGACATCTGCTATCGAATCGCCAAAACGCCTGTTGTGATTCTATCGCGATTCCTGGTGTTCACAGGACCGTCGCACGACCACCATTCACTGCGACCATGCTGGTTCGATCGGTCACCGTGCAGCCACCGAGCGCTCAAGGAAGACAGCGAGAGGAAGCAACCACGGCCTCACTGGCGGCGACCGGCGCCACGGTGGCAGCGGCTGGTGCCACCAGGCGCACCTTCGCTCATCAACGGGAGGGGGCAGGGGAGAGGACATATAGAGGGAGAGGGAGGGAGAGAGAGAGAGCGAGAACAACAACAACAGACAAAAAACGAAACGAGTCAAAGAGAGAAAGAGAGAGAGAGAGAGAGTGGGAGGAGGAACGGAAGACGTGGCCCGAGAGCAGACGACGCGTATGGGGCAGCTACGGACCCAGGTCAGAGCAATGATGGGGGGGGAGGTGCAGCGCGAAGTGGGAGCATGGGCGACGGTGCCACTTGACTCGCATCAACCATCTGGGCGCAGATGTCTGGGGCTAACCTCTTCCAAAACAACACCCTCCTTCTCTCGGGGACTGGTTCACTCCTCCCCCCAACCCCCTCCCTGAAAAGATGGCCCCTCGACGGCCCTAGATGGCCCCAAGACGGCCCAAGAAGCCCCATGGCCCAAGAGGACTCCAAGAGGCCCATCCGAAAGGGTCCAAAAAGCCCCAGGTATCTACAAGACGGCCGCGTCCGAAGACCCAGAGGTCTCCAACATGAACCGCACTCGACCCGAGAGGACTTCAAGAGAGCCCCGAGACTGTCCAAGAGGGTCGCAGGATGGCGCAAGGGGCTGCCGAGATGACCCTAGCGCCCCAGCACGACCCCGAAAGGCCTCCAAGACGGCCCTGCAGCGCCCGAAGAGCCCCTGAGACGATCCCGAGAGCTCCACAAGACAGCCTCCGAAGTCTTCAGACGGGCCCAGAGCGCTCTAAGGGTACCCATATGGTGCCCCATGTGAGGCCCGACGCGGCCTCAAGAAGCCCCACCAAGGCACCGCAGAGGCTCCTCGGACGCCCCCGGGAAGCGCCAAGTGGGCCCAGGGGGGGGGGGGGGGGCAAGCGGCCGCCAAGTGGCATCCGTCTTGGTTTCCTGCTCCTCTCCTCCTCCTCCTCTCCTCCTCCTCCTCCTCTCCCCCCCCCCACCCTCCCCCCCCCCCCCCCCTCCCCCTCCCCCCTCCCCCTCCTCCTCCCTCCCCCCTCCTCCTCCTCCTCCTCCTCCTCCTCCCTCCTCCTCCTCCTCCTCCGCCTCCGCCTCCTCCTCCTCCTCCTCCTCCTCCTCCTCCTCCTCAAGGCTCTGCAGAAGAACATGGTCATCCATGAACGCCAATCGAGAGAAAAAACAAACAAATAACGCTAACTCAACACGCCTGGTCGAGCAGGTGGCAGCCTTCCGGGACCCAGGCATGAAACCTTGGATCAGCTGCTTAAGGGTACGACCTCCGTGCTCGCTGGGCTTGCCATTGCAAGGGGCGAGGAGCGGGGCCAAGATCCGATTACTGGCACCGTACCCACAAGCTTCACATACCACGACGGGGTGGGACGGGGCAGGGGTACCAGAGAAGAGGGTCACTCCTCCTCCTCCTCCTCCTCCTCCTCCTCCTCCTCCTCCTCCTCATCCTCTTCCTCCTCACCCTCCCACCTTTGACGGCCCCACGACATGCCAACGTACCACATCTGCGGGCTCGGTTCCTGACGGGGGGACCACTGTGGTTCCCGTGCGATCTACACAGCGCGCAGTCCCCATCGACAGAACACACGGGAGCATGGCAGCGCCTCTATCCAAGGCGCTTCGCCCACACGCGCCTACACCAGCGAGAATGGTCCGACAAACTCTGAGCTGCCGAAACCTGTCGCCACCGACGCTGATGCCTCGCTGATGCCTTCTGACGCTGCCTCGCTGATGCCTTCCGACGTACACGGGCATCTCACTTAACTGAAGCTCGCCAGATCCAATCCTGGTCTGCAAGTCTAACCTGGCGTTAATCGATTGATGGGGACGGTTTTATCCACGACGCCCAGCGGTAATAGGACGATTCGACTACTCGGTTCGACCCGCTGATCCTGGACACCTGGTGCATGCTATGACAATTGCCTGCGAAACCCCCTCCTCGACACGAAAATACGGAACACGCAGACTCCTTGGGCCACTTCCCCTGCAGAAGACGCGTGAAGGCTCGTCTCGCCCTTTAGGAACGCTGCATGCCTACGCCATTGCCTGCGCAGTAGTTCAGATTTCTAATTCGGTGTGCTGGACGGTTTGACAATTTTGAGCCTTCCACCCCGCCACCAGCAGCTGCATCAGGCCACGGCTGCAGGGATTTGATGGCGCCATTTCGGGCAGCTCCAACCGCGGACGCGGGCGATGCCGACGCGTCACTACCCCGCCTGAAGAGCGCATGAACACACGCAGCCTCGGGCCACCTTGGGCCCACGGGACAGCCCAGGGCCGACCCGCACCCATGAGCTATCTGTTGGGAGCAGCGGGCTTTCCGGCGTCGGGGAAACTTACTGAAACACCTTGCGCCCACATTGGCAACTCCAGACGAACGTCGGGGACCGACTGATACGGTTTTTGCAAGATCCTGCAGGAAGCTGCGGGATCCCGCACGCTCACCTGGGTCAATGCAACCCTAGCCCTGCAGGATCCTGCAGAATCTGGCGCTCTGGCTGACCCCCCTTTGCGTTGACCCCCGTCTCTTGAGAGCCCCGAGAGCGAACGGCATTCCCTTTCCCGCATGCCGGCCTCCAGCGAGGGAAGCCTCGAGCCTCCCGGCGTCGCTGTCTCTGCAGCCCTCCCGAGGAACTCGGCCAGAGCGGCGTCGCTGCTGATGTGCACCCGCCTGCGGCCCAGAGGTGGCGCCCAGGAGCTCTGAAGACCTTGTCGCAACCACCAGCTGCGGATTTATAAAAGGACCGAATCCATACCGGTAGGATTGCCCACTATACCTCATGGACCTTCAATGATGTACAGTGTGTGCGCGCTGACGTTCTTAATAGTAGGTAGGCGAATCGCCATACGAGAGGGAGCACAAGACAGATGTGCAACACAACATGCGCACAGACATGCCTACCACGACGCCCCCTCGCATAGGTAGACCTGGCCAGGGCTTGTACATCCTTCTTCGTCACACTGCAAACTGCCGAGCCAGTCGTGGCTCCCCCTGCAACTACATCGTTGAGCTTCAGGCTCTGTTTACCGTAGGATTCCCCATAATCGGCCGAACGAGTGCCAATATACTGACAAAGAAGCCTCATTTCCACTCCGGGCGAAAAAAATCGCCCACGCAGCGGGCCGAAGGCATGCTAGAATCTCTGGTGCGAGGCTCCCGAAAATGGTACGGTCCACGCCTTGCTCGCGTGGCGGCCCCTGGGGATCCCGCAAAGAAAATCGCCAGGAGATCCCTGGGCGATCCCGCCGCGGAATGCCGGAACTGCCGGGCGGCTTAAAAACCGACAAACAGCTACCAACGTTGCCTCCAAGATGCGTCTCCAGACCGCCACCTCGTCTCAAACATGCTTCCGAGAGGCCACAGGACGGCCACAAAACGGCCTGCAAGGCAGAATATATTCAGCAACCTGGTTCCAGTGATTGTGGCTTTCTCCCCGATTCGATTCCCATGTCCTTCTGACGCTTCAAGATGGCTCCGAGATCGCGTGAGATGTCCCTAGAAGAGGGCTCCAAGAGCCCCCAAGGGAAACAAGATGGCCCCAAGAGGTCCCAAGAGCAAGGACCACTGGTGACAGGCCGCAAGATGGCCCCAACACAACCCCAAAAGGCCCTAAGATAGCTCCGAGATGGACCAATGATGTCCAAGGTAGCTTCCAGGAAGGCCAACATACTACTGCAACATCTTGAGGTATGTTTTCAATGGTTGTGGCTTTACTCCCGGGTCGCTTCCGATGGCCCTCTCAAGCATCAAGATCACTCGAAGGTCGCCCAAGATAGATCCAAACGAGCACAGAAGGGTTCCACGAGGGCTTAAATGTCCCCCAGAGGCCCCAGCAGCGCCCCAAGAGGGCCCCAAGGGAGCCCAAGAGCGGTACAAGACCGATGATTAATGGGTGACGGGCCCAAAGACGGCCCCAACTCAATCTGAAGAGGCCCCAAGATAGCCCCAAAGTGGCCTTACATGGCCCAAGACAGCCCCGACGTGGCCCCGAAGAGGCCCCAGTGAGCCCCTGAGAGGCACCAGGAGGCTCTCAGAAGCCTTCCCGATGCTAACCCAAGATGCTACCAGAAACCTTCAAAGGGCTCAGCACAGGATAGACGTATCCATGTCGTTGTGTTCCTTGCCTTTTCGTGCTTTGGGGCTTTGCTGGTAGACCTCGGGTGACGCCTCCAGCGGGGCTCCAAGTGAGCAGTGCTTGGGGGGTGACGCTTCGTCGCTTCGCTTTGGCGAGTATCTCCCCTCCTGGCTTGATGCTCTCATCCACGGCACCTCTCAACACAACAGAGTGCTAACGATGATGCACCATGAGCCAACGAATGCGATGAGCGACTAGATTCGGCGGGCCATCTCCAGAAGCATAGCGGCACAGTGTCTGTTCATGGTCTTCACACCTCGCAACCTGTGCCGTCCGCCACCGTGCCGCAGCCACGGACCCCTGTATCGAGCATTCGAGTGCTGGGAATACTCTTGAAGGGGCCCTGTACCCCCGGTTGCCCACGCGTCCGTCCAGAATCCCTGCTGCCTGTGACTGTGGACCCCCGAGAACTGGAATTTCTGGGGTGTGCCGCGTGACTCCCCAGGTGTCGCGGGACGTTTGTCTGTCCGAGGGGCAGAAGGCCCGAAGACAGCCCAAGATGGCCCCAAGAGGGCCTCACGACGATCCAAGACGGCATCGAGTCGGCCCGAGGGTTTTTTCCAAGAGGCCAAACATATCGAATTTCAATGTCAGCGGCGTTCTCGCCGTTTTCAAGCTTCCAGCACCCGAAGACGGCCCAATAGAGGCTCTCAAGATCGCTCCAAGACGGCCCAAGAGGCCTCCAAGAGGGGCCCACGACGGCCCCGGAGAGCCGTGAGACCATCGAGAGGGGCCTAAGACGGGGATAGCGAAGAAGTCGTGTGAGAGTTTTCCAACAATACTGCCACCAAACAAAAGCTCCCGAGAGGCCCTGAGCGCCCGCTCATGAGGTCTCCCAGAAGCCCTCAGAGAGGCGCCCCAAGAGAGGGCGAGGGGGGCGAGGGTGGGGAGCCTTCCAGGAAGATCGGGGGGCTTCCTTGGAAGCCCAGCTGCATTCTCGGAAGCCTTCTTCAGAAGCCTCCCGCCCCGCCTAGGCATTAATCCCTTCTCTCGCAGGGCCACGTGCCTCGCCCGACCCCTTGTGCGCGCTGCCGACAGACCCTCGACGGTCTGATTGCAAACCGAACAGCACCCAAAACTTTCGGCCCAATCCCAGGGGCGTTTCCGTTCGTCCTGCCTCTTTTTGCTTGACGGCCCCTGGGTCCGACACAGGCGTGCAGATGCTCGAACTGAGATAAATTCTCCTAATATTTTCTGTTGGCGCGGGAAGACCAGGGGTCTCAGACTGAGGGCCACCGTGACCCTCAGCGCGAGCTGTCTTCGACATCCACCAGCTCCGCTCGAAGACCTCCGACGTCGTGTGCTGCCATCGCGTGCCACTCTCGGGGCTGGATGCTCCAGGCTGCAGGACGATCGTATCCTCGACGGCCCCGGGACCATCGTTGAGCTAAGGTTTTCCGACGCTGCTGGTGTCCGAAACCCGGCTCCGGAGGACGAATATCGGCCCCCCCCAAGTGTTCAGGCAGCTGGAGGCCCGCACCGCCCCTCTTCACGCAGAGAAGCCTCACTGCCCAAGGGCGAGGGAGCCTGAAGCCGTTCAGGCCGACGACGAGGAGGCCACCCCCGGCGGCGTTGAGCGACTTGGGGTCGAGCCCCTGGACCGAGCACGCCTCTTCGAGATTGAAGTCCGCATCCTGCAGCAGCTGCCTGAGCGGAGCGCTGGCGCAAGCGCTCGGCGGTGGACACGGCTCCCTTTCGTAAACCTCCCCTTGATGAAAGCGGCCTGGGACCGACACCGATGCGCCCGGACCCGCAAGAATGGTGGCCGCGACGCCGCGACGCCCTCTCGCGAACCGAAAACGGCCAATTCGCGCATCGACGCGTCGGGGCAACAGGCCCAATCAGACCCCTCGGGAGGGGCCAAGAGGGGGGTGTCCACGAGGGGGGGGGTGCAAATCATGACCGGCGGCATGTGCGCGGCCCAGCGGGGGGACCAGGGACGCAAGGAAATGAGAAGAGGCGCCATAAAATCTAGGAAAATATCATGGCCTCCTCCATGATTCGGGCGTTGGCAGAACTGGGTTTAGTGGAACCTGGTTTAGGGATGTGTACCGGGGGGCGCCCCCCCCCCCCCCCGCCCCGTTCCGCTAACCGGAACTGCCGTCACCCGAAAAACACCAGTTACGGCGAACCTCGTTTAGTGAATCTGGCCACTTGAGGGGCCCCAGGGCCCTACCACTAACCGGGTCCTCTTACCCGGGGTCCTGGCTATACCCGAATGATATTCCCCCCCCCTGGTCATCACCCCCCTCTTTGCCGCCCCCGATGAAAGGTCCAATCAGACCCTGGAGTGCACCGAGCAGGTCGGGCGAAAGGAGGGGATAGCAAAGAGGGGGTCTGATAAGCAGCTCACGTAGCTGATTTTCCCGGCGCCTCCCGGCGCCGGAGGCGACTATGTATCGAGGAATGGGCCCCTCGATGAGGCCGAAACAAACTGCATGCAGCAAATTTCGTTAGCCCCCCTTTCCCAATCCCCCCCTTTCGTCCGGCCCGAACCGAGCAGGGCGGGGCGGGGAAGCTCCGCCGAGGCGGCCGAGCCGGGCTGGGGGAAGGCTCCCCCAGCGGCGCACGGAGGCGTTCGTCCGCCCTGGCAGAGCGAGGAAGCAGGCGGCGTGCAACGCAAGACCAGACGTTGGTCGGGCAGGTCCCCCCTAAAGGCGGATTTTGGACGGAAAATGAAACAAATACCCACAAAATATATACTCCCAGAAAAGTTAAGCAAAGACTAGAACAAATCGTCCCGAGACTATTTCTATGGCTATTCTGGAATGTTCCTCCTGTAGAGGGACAGGCCCGACTTAAGAGCAGATGGGGTCGAAGGATCGAGCCGCATCGCCAACGCATCGCCGACGCATCGGCGATGCATCGGCGACGCGTCGGCTGTGCCTCGGCGACGTCGTCGTGGAGCAGCAGGGGCTCCACAGCGAGCCGCATCGTCGATGCATCGGCGACGCGGCGCGCTCCTCCGACCCCACCTTTTTTTTGGACAACGACGACGACAAAAACTACGACGACGACGACGACGACGACGACGACGACGACGACGACGACGACGACGACGACGACGACGACGACGACGACGACAAAAACGACGACAACGAGGACGCCGACGCCGCCCGCGTCAAACTCAAGCTGCAGGGGACGGCCCAACAGAAGCAGTCCGAGCTGGAGGCCCTCGGACCCCCTCCCGGAGGCCCAGGAAGGCGGACGGGGGCGCACGGCCGTGCACAGAGGCCGGGGTGCCCTGCGGCCTCGGGGCGCCAACGCCCTCCTCGTGCATGCTCGACGCCGTGCGCCCTGCCAGGCGTGCGCGCCCGTCCCGGGTATGAGGTCGTCGGCGGCACGCGAGGGGGGGGGGGCCGTTGTTCTGCCAACTTCTTCGGGAAGCCGCGCGCTCGTGCTGCTGGGGGGAAGGGAACGGGGGCAGGGGCGGGTGGGAGGGAGAGAGAGAGAGAGAGAGAGAGAGCAACGGGGCAGGTGGGGGAGAAGAGGCGGATGAAGGGGAGGAAGGCGAGGAGAAAGGAGCAGGAGGAGCAAGAACGCAGCGAACGCAGTCCCGGAGGAGGAGGAGGAGGAGGATGAGCAGGAGGAGGAGCGAGAACGCGACAGACGCAGTCCCAAGGCTTGACCCACGTCAAAGAGGAGGAGCAGGAGGAGTAGCGACACAGGCCAACAAGGGACGGGCGGCCAACGGACGGGAGTCCGAGCGGAGAGCGGCAGCGGCATGTGGGAGGTGGGAGAAGCCCGCCGCCCCTCGAGGGCGCCAACCCGCTCCCACCGTCCGACACACTGTACACCCAGGCCTTCCGCCGGGGGCGCACGAGCACGGATCAGCGATCCCTGGATTTGGCGCGCGGTCGCCAGATCCGTGGATCGGGGGAGGTGCCCTCCCCAGGATGCGGCCGGCGCCGCCTCGCTCGGCGGCGGAGATGGGCGATCTCCCGCGGAAACGGGACCCGTGGCTACTCCACGCCCCCTTGATCCCTGATTTTTGCGATCGCCTGAGTCAGCATACACGGCAGACTCAATGCGGGCACCCGTCGGTCCGAAGAAGTGGGTATAGGAGCACGAAGCAGGAAGGTGTTGGAAGCAGATTGGGCTTCGGCCGCCCCCTGGGAGAGGAGGGAAGAGGGAAAACCACTCGGCTCTCGATCGTTGAAGGCCGAACGACTTCTGCCGTCCTTCGATTCGCGCTGGAGCGGCCGCGAGTTGCTCCAACTTTCCCTGGAGATCTCTGCATTTACCTGGATTTACCCAGATTCACCGTGATTTATCTCGATTCACCTGGATGTGCCTCGATTAATCTGTATCCCTGGATTTATATGGCTCGATCCCCCCACACAAGTCGATTGGCTAAAAGTCGACAAGCCCTTAGGGACTTGAAGTAGGAAGGCGGCTAAAGTAGATTGCGATCTGGAAATCCAGAAATACCTACTTGCAACGACCAGCGCATAATGACAAGCACAGGTCAGGCCCTGCGTCAGCCCCTCGCTGTATATATTTGTTGTGAGGGGGCCAATATGAGCTCAACAAGAAAGTCCCATGTTCTGGCCTGCTGCTGCAACCGGGCCTGCACAGCATCAAATATTCGAGCGTGGCTGGGCTGATGATGCCTAAGATTAGGTCGGGCGTGCCCCCCTACAGGCGGATTTTGGACGAACAAGAAATCACTCCAAAACAAGAGTCAAATCATGTTCAAAATGATCACTCAATTCGTTCCCAGAATACTTTCTACTATTTTTGATATCCACCCTGTAGAGAGACAGGCCCGACTTAAGCCTAAGATCATGGTGAAGAGTAGTCACAGCATCAGAGCGCAATGACCATGGAGATCGGCACGCCAGTGCCTCGAGGGAGAAGTTCCGAGACACACGAACTACTGTGGAGGGTCCGTAGCCCAGGCCGAACACGAGGAGGGGAGCATAGACGCCTCCTAGATTTAAGTCGGGCCTGTCCTCCTACAGGGGAATTTTGGACGAGAAATAAAAAACAAATCAAACACATACTCCGAAATGCTCAAGCATAGTTAAAACAAAAAATGATCCCCAGATTATTGTTGGACTATTTCTGAATATTCCTCCTGTAGAGGGACGGGCCCGACTTAATCCTAGATGGGGTCCGAGTAGATGGGGTCGAAGGATTGCACCGAATCGGCGATGTATCGGCGATGCATTGTCGATGCATCGGCCATGCACTGGCGACCTCGGCGATGCATCGGCGACGTCGACGTGAAGCAAATCGTGCCCCACGTAGAGGCGCATCCTCGATGCATCGGCGATGCGGCGCGATCCTCCGACCCCATCTACTCGGACCCCATCGAGGAGGCGAGCAGGGGGAGGAAACGCAACCCTGAAGACAGCACCGGGCCCTCGAGCATGTGTGCCACACCGAGACGTCGCTCAGCCTTGGCAAGCTATGCATACAGGGCAGCGTGGGGTCCCTGGAGCGGCCACGCGTGCACCAGGCACCCACCAGCGCCTGAAGGTACACCACAAACACCGACGCAGGAACCAACAGCGAACATACGGTAGGTCCAAGGCATCTACCTCGCGAAGGAGGAGGTGGAGGAGGAGAAGAAGAGAGAAAGGGTTAGGCAGGAGGAAGAGGAGGAGAAACATATGGGAGAGTGAGAAGAAGGAGTGAGCAACACCAAAATGGGTGAGGAACTCGAAAACCGCGGAAGAACCACAGAGCACATATCGCCGGGCCGCTAAGGCGCAGGGGACAGCAAAGAAGCGCCGTGGCGCGTCGATCTAGAACTGGGCGGAGAGACGCAGGGTAAGGATGATGAAGACATGCTCCAAATGCTCTGTAAGTGGACAGGGTTGGGGTGCGATCAAAAACAACTCTGCGTCGGCCCTACCTGCAAGACTCAAGGGAGAGAACATCCTTCCCCGCCTGCTAATCCGTGATCCTTGCTGGTCCTGGGGACCGAATCGGGCCCAGAAGGGCCCAGCCTGCAGAGAAAAACAGCCGTCACGCTGAAATTCTCGCGACGACGTGCTTGCAAGTCTCTGGGGACATGCCCGGCTGTCCCCCTCCAGACCTCCGGAGGCGTCCCGAGCCCTCGACCCGACCCGCTTGACAAAATACCTACGGCATCCGCTCCTCGGTCACTGCCGTTCCCGTGGGCGCGAATGAATGGGGGCGGCGTCAAAGGGGGGGGGGGGAGGGAAAGGCGCCCTTTTCGGGCGCCAAGGGCCCCGTTCTGGGCCCGAAAGGGCCCCTTCAGGGGCCCTGAAGGGCTTCTTTTCAGCAGCCCTCGCTGCCCACCCCATGCATCGCCCCCCCATTCGCGTCCTCCGATTCCTCTTGCCACCACCCTGGCCTGCTCCCTGCCTCCGACGTGCCTCGCGGCCTTTTTGCCCCTGGCACTCTCGACCCAACCGTCTATTTTGTGTTCCAGCTCGTTTTTTCTGGTGACCCCATTGCCTAAAACGGGCCTTTTCGGGCTACCAGTCCGCGAAAAAGGAACCTGTACACCACCACTGGCCAGGGCCACCTTTGGCCCTGGCCTGGCGTGTGTATCATCACTGCATTGGCCAGCAGGCACTTTACACCAACCCAGGCCCATGGATGGCCCTGGCCAGGCACGATGGTGGTGTGCACATCCCCTCTGCGGTCCCAGTCCTCGTCCGTGGGCGAGGATATGCTCATTCCCAAACTGCGGTCGGGAACTGTTGCTTAGTATGTCGCGGCGGCGGCCCCAGCGACGCGCTGTGCCTTGCAAGCGGATAGCATGTCGCTCCGCTCCGCGGGGAGGGAGGCTGGGAAGAACTCAGCACGTGGATGAAATTTCTATCTCGTCCGGCGACGCATTTGCTTTCGTGACGCGGGCCGCCGAAGATCTCGACCCCTTCCCCGGGAACGGCTTTGTACCATGAGACGTTGTCGGGGGGGGTGTACCGACCCGGGTCAATCCAGACCCGGGCCAGCCGGGCCTTGCAGGATCCTGCAAAATCCTGCGCCCAAACCTCGGTCAATGCGAAGGAACCTGCAACATCCTGCAGGATCCTGCACCCAAATCCGGGCCAATGCGACCCTGGCCCTGCAGGATTCTGCAAGGTCCGACGCTCTGACTGATCTCGGTTTGCATTGACCCCCGTCTTTTAAGTCCCGACGTTCTTGGACGGTCCCAGGGCTGGGAAGCAGCCCCCTCAAACATTTGAAAATGACAGGACATCCGCCGTCACGTTTTTGTTGGGGGGCAACGTCCAGATCTGTCCGTGGGGGCGCTCGTTCTGACCTGACTATCTACCAGACCACCCCAACCGAACCCGAAGACCCGAATTTCGGGTGGGGGGGGTACGGGTTCCGTATGTGTGTTTTCTCACTGTTCCCCGACCCCCCCCCTTCCCACTGGAAATGGAGGACAGATTGAGGCCTTCGGGTTGGGTTGGGGTGGTTTGGTGGGTGGTGCCATGCCCAGGCTCTCGAGACCCTCGAGAATCTTGGACTATCCTCGTCCTCCTGCTCCTCCTGCTCCTGCTCCTGCTCCTGCTCCTGCTCCTGCTCCTGCTCCTCCTCCTCCTCCTCCTCCTCCTCCTCCTCCTCCTCCTCCTCCCCCTCCTCCTCCTCCCCCTCCTCCCCCTCCCCCTCCTCCCCGCCCGCTTTCTGCAGAGGGAAACGCTGAGGGGGGGCTGTCTCAATTGGGCCAAGCGTCGACCTGGAGAATCGGCGAGGCGTCGCCGGCGGATCGGCGCTGTAGGCCCCCGGTAGCAGAGCGGCACTCTCCAGGAGGCGGGGCGGGAGGTCGGTCCCCTGCAGTGGCGGAGGTCAGTCCACACGAAAGCTTCCACAAGAAACCCAGCCCTCTCCTCCTCCTCCCCCTCCTCCTCCTCCTCCTCCTCCTCCTCGTCCTCCTCCTCGTCCTCCTCCTCCTCCTCCTCCTCTTCCTCCTCCTCCCCCTCCCATCGATGTTTGGTGTGGGTGGGGGTGCCCTGCAGTGGTGGAGGTCAGTCCACACGAAACTGAAGGGGGCCTGGGACACGCAAAGAAATGGGCACGAATAAAAGGATGCCCCATATTTTCCCATATTTTCTGGGTTGTTGTCGTCCCCACCACTTCCCATATTTTCCCATATTTTCGGGGGAGTCGACGATTCATTGTGTCTGTGCGTTTTTTTCCCTCCTGAGAAACCTTCCACGAAAAACCCAGCCCTGAGATCCCAGGACGGCCATGGATGCTTGGTGTGGGAACGTCACGCCTTCCACAGCAAACAAAAACCTCGGAACCCAGGAAACCCAGGGCACCCTGGAGGCAAGCAGGATGTTGCCTGGCACGGGCATCCACGGTTGGCCCCCGATCGCACACCCGCACTCTCCACGGCGGGGTGGGGCATCAGGCCCCTATAGAGGCGATTGAGGGTCGATGCCTCCCCCCCAACTGCGGCGGCGAGCGACGGGGGGAAGTGAGAAGGAGCAGGCCTTCCCAGAAGGCTCGGAAGTCCCCAGGCCTTCTAAGAATTCCCTAAACCTTCCCCAAAAAAACAAAAGCAAAAGCTTCTCTGAAGGCGCAAGAGGGCTTGTGAGAAGTCCCACCTCCCTCTGAGCAGGCCTTCTCCTTCTCACTCGCTTCCCCCCCTCGCTCGCCGCCGATGATTACTCGTCGGACCTCGACCCTCGATCCCCGAACCTTGAGGCCTGGGCCCTGGGAGAACTCGGCGAGGCGGCGAGGCCCGGCCGAGGCCCGCGCACGAGCTCCGCGACGGTGGACGGCAGGGTGCGGCAGGTCTTGATGCGCTGGCCGCCGCAGGCCTCGTCGGACAGGATCAGCCTGCGGGGTGCGGCCTGCCAGCCTCCCCTGGCGGCGAGCGAGGGGGGGAAGTGAGCAGGGGAAGGCCTCCTCAGAAGGCGGCGGGACTTCTCAGAAGTCCTGGCGCCTTCTGAGGAGATCTTTTTGTCCTCGGGGAAGGCTTAGAGGAAACTTCTCAGAAGCCTGGGGACTTCCGAGCCTTCTGAGAATGCTTTCTCCTTCTCACGTCCCCCCCATCGCTCGCCGCCGATTCCCAAATGGTGGACCCTGAGATCCTGGCGACTCCATTTTTTCGAGCCAGGCGTTTTCGTTCCATTACGGGCCCCGGGACCCGCACAGGTCGATCCGGCGCGAAGAATGACACAGAAAGATGGGGCCGGGGGTCTGGTCGTGATTTTTTCCGATGTTGCAATCTTTCAGCAGCGTCGCATCTCAGGGGAGGCTGCCAGCTTCCCAGGTGGTGGGGATTCTGGGTGATCGACGCTCTACCCATAGCCCTGCTGACGCCCAAGTCTTTTGCGCCAGAGTGGCGGGATGGAGAAGCCATGCCCCGCTCCCGCTGGCGCCCTGTGGGGGGCAGAAGCAAGGAGATGGATCGAACGTCGACCGCCGAGGGAAGGATACTCCACGACGCCAGAGGTAGCTGAGGCTGACGAGGAGGAGGAGGACGACGACGACGACCACAACAACGACGCTGACGACAGGAGCGACGACGGCGACGACGATGACGGCGGCGGCGGCGACGACAGCGAGAAAGACGATCCGGCATGCGACGCCCAGACCCTGAGATGCGACGTTGCGCCAAGCATTGCAGCATCGTGCAACAAAAAGCACAGCCAGAGCCCTAGCCAGATCGAGCCGGGAGGGTCCAGGTGCCCGCAGCCCATCGAAAATGCCTGATGTGAAAAAGATGCGACGGCAAGGTTTCAGGGCCACATGAAGGCATCGCCCCCTCAAACTCCGACGCCGTAGACCTGTCCCGGGGCGCTGTCCGACCCAGGCTCCGGGCTGGATCCAATTCGTCATCGTCGTGGTCGCAACCCAATTGAGTCTTGCCACCAAGGTGCGGGTGGATGGGTGGGGCGTTTGCATGAGCAGTGAAGTCGGCGGCCACATTATTGACAAGTTCAACATTCTACAAAAACTGTTAGCCAGCGCGGACCCCAAACACTGCGTCGTGCAAAGTACGTTGTGCAATATATGTGGTGCAAACTATGTTGTGCAATGTATATGGTGCAATCTCACGTGGTGCAGTATATATTGTGCACGCTCTGTGGTGCAAAACATGTTGAAAAATTCTTGAAATGCGATCTATACAGTTGAAATAACTGGTAATGTATATATATATATATAGGTATAAACGTATATGTATATATATATAAATGTAAAACATGTGGTGAACCATATGCAATGCAGACTGACTGATACAACGTATGAGAGGTTATATGTGTACGTATGAGTATATCTAGTTATACATATATATATACGTATGTGTGTGTGCCCTGCAACCTATGCGGCACATTCTATGTGGTGCAATGTGTATATATATACATATATACACACATATATGTATATATATGTGTATGTTAAAGTATATACATGCTCATGAAGACCCACGTATGGCACTCCATGTGAAGGACCATATGTTGTACAAGCCAGGCGGTGCAATATGCAGTTTAATAAAAAGGTTGTGCCAGCTAGGCGGTCCTGTCTAAACGGTGCAATTCATTTGCCAAATTTGAAGTTGTCTTTTCCCACTGCTCGCGCGATCATCCCACCCACCCACCCGCAGCTTGGTTTGCAAAACCCGCGCGGGAGCGGTTGCGATGAGTGCTGGGTGTTGGCTGGTGCACCTCTGCGGCCGCATTAGCCCGCGCATGCCCGCGCGCGCAGCGGCCAGCTAATTTGGCGCGACCGACGCGAACGCGGTGGCGCTGCCCGCTCGGCACATCCCAACGGGCACTTCAGTGCGACTCGGCGACTTGGGAGTGCGCGATATCATGGCAAAGTCGACGACGGTGGACGCTATGATGCTTGTAGCGATGCTGGTGATGCTGCTGGCAACGACAACGGGGCAGCCAGTGACGGCGCCGATGCTGATCACGCCGACGACGATGACGGCGTCTTCGTGTCGGTGATGAAGGTTGGAAGGAATTCGAAATGCGCGCGCGGCCGACGCGCGAGAGTGGCTCCCATGGTAGTATTTGACACGGATCGTGCCACCCCAGCACACGCGCAAGGGCGTCCGCACGATTTCGACATGCGCGCGCGAAGCCCGTTTGGTAGCAATGTATGAGAATGCTGGAAAACAAAGCGTATGTTCTTAGGAATTCGCAAGAGCGCGCGCACGCTTTTGTTGAACATCCCCTGTGCGAAACCATGTGTCTTGTAACGTTTTTCGACACTCGATTTTGAAATCCTTCCGAAACCGACCGTTTTTGAAGGACTCCGGCAAGCGCGCGCGACGACGCGCGCGTGCGCACTTCGTCAGATTTGTTGCAAGAGATTCTTGTAAGCTTACGATGTCTAATAAACGAGTGCGCGTGCAACATTTTTTTTGCAAGGGAACCGAGGGGGTACCGATACCGGCCTGGCTGGGACAGTATGACTTCACAGGTAGGAGGGACATTGGGTCAGAATCAGATGTGTTTTGCATAGGTTCCCGGGAATCGATTAAGTCGGGGGGGAGGGTGGTAGAACCTATCTCCTCTTTAGAAAATAGAAGCTACATAGTGCAATTGATTTTGTGCCAATCAATGTTGTGCAATCCACGTGGTGCACTATGTTGTGCAAGCTACATGGTGCAGTCTATGTGGTGCAATTGATTTTAACAAATGATTTGACACATCCCATGCTCTTGCAAACATCCCACCCATACACCCGCAACTTGGTTCGCAAAACCTCCTAAGACCGACTACGACGACACCGGCGACGACGACGACGTCGACGACGCCGACGACGACGACGACGACGGCGACGAGGATGACGCCGCCGACGACGACGAAGACGACGACGCCGACGCCGACGACGACGACGACGACGTGGCCAACGAAGACGACGCCCACGACGAGGGAGGAGGGAGGACGACGACGACGACAACGTAGACAACGACGAGGGAGGAGGGAGGATGGCGACGACGCGAACGACGAAGAAGGAGGAAGGACGGCGACGCCGACGACGACAACGACGAGGGAGGAGGGAAGACGACGACGACGACAACGACGACGACGACGACGAAATAGGAGGGACGCCGACGAGACGCCGACGACGGACGACGACGACGACGACGAAGACGACGAGGGAGGAGGAGGAAGGACGACCACGGCGACAACGACGACGGAAACGACCACGACGCCAAAGAGGACAACGACGACAAACACGAAGAAAGACAGAGGACGACGTAGGCGACGACGACGACGACGCGGGAGGAGGGAGGACGGCGACGACGACGACGACGCAAGAGCGCGCGCGCACGCTTTTGTTGAAAATCCGTGTTGCGAAACATTGTTTTTGTGGGTTTTTTAAACACACGGTTTTGAAATCCTTGGGAAGCCGATGGGTTTGAAAGATTCCGGCATACGCGCGCGACGACGCGCGCGTCTGCACTTCGTCCCGTCTTTTGCAAAGAATTCTCGCGACGACATACGCACAAGGGCGTTCGACAGATTTCGACATGCGCGCGCGCGAAGCCCGTTTGGTAGCATTTTGTGAACATCTTAAAAAGAACCGATGGATTTCGTAAGCTTTCGCAAGAGCTCGCGCGTAAGCTTTTTTAGCAAATCTGTGTTGCGAAACCCTGTGGTTGTTGTATGTTTTGTTGGAAACTCGATTGCGAAATCCTTCCGACACCGAAGGTTTTTGAAGGATTCCGGCATGCGCGCGCGACGACGCGCGCGTGTGCACTTCGTCCAATGTTTTGCAAGGGATTCGTGAACAAGTCTTATGTTAGAACAAAGCATGTCCCCGCGTATCGTTTTTTACCAGGGAACCTCAGGGGGACCGATCCCGGCCCCCCGGGGATAGTGTAAATTATATTTCGGGTGGACATGTGGTCAGAATCATATATGACTTACATACCCGAGAGGGGTACGGATAACTCCGGGAGGGGGGGTGGAGTCTATCTTTTCTCTTTTTAGAAAGGAGAATATATGCGGTACAATATTTGCGCAATCGATGTGATGCTGCATATGCTGTGCAGTCTAAAGCGGCGACGGGGCAGCGACGAGGGCAACATAGCCGCCAGACCGACAGACAAGCCCAGGCGACGGGCGGCGACGAAGCGGCGGCGCAGCTGTGACGGCGGCAACATAGCCTCCAGACGGACAGACATGTCCACATGACGGGCGGCGACGAGGCGGCGACGCGGTGGCGACGGGGGCAACATAGCCGCCAGACCAACAGAGAATTTTTTTTTTTGGCCACCGTTGACCGAACCTGTCTACTCCCAGCAACCCTCCGACGAGCCTCGCCATGCCGTCGCCAGCGCTGGCCAGGAGGAGGGAGGACGGGAGCTCCGAGGAGGAGCGACAGGCCGCCCCCAAGCTCAGCGCGCCTTGCTGGCGTCGACCTCAGCCATGGCCTCCGCGATGAGCGTCGCCACACTGCGCGTCACGCCCTCCTCCGCCATGAGAGTCAGCACCCGCTCCTCGAAGGTAGCTGCCGCGCCGCCCTCCAAAACTGTCCCAGGGGAGAACTCGCTCATAGTGATGGGGTTGACGATGCCCTCCAGCTCCGCCCGCTTATCGACATTGCGATCGTCTGCAAGCGGGGGGTTATTCACGCAATCGAGGGTATCGTACACCGCCGTCTCGATATTCACCTCGGGGATGATCTCGGCATCATCGGCGTGCATCGCCAGCGCCATCGAGCCGCCCGAGCCCTTGAACACCTTCATCGTGATGTGGTTGGCGGTGCCCTCCAGCTCTCCGTAGACTTCATCCTGCTCCGTCTTTACGATCTGCTCCTTGGCGTTGGCTACACTTCCGTCCACGAGGCCGTCCTTCGCCTCGTGCTTGTCCTGC